ACCTCCAGGAGAAAGTCGGAGGAGTCGTGCACCAGCATCACCAGCGTTCCCACCCTCACGTAGTTGGCGCAGTAGGAGAAACCGATGAGGAAGAGGGTTGCGATGTGATGGATGACCTGCTCCTTGAAATCCTGGAACGCACACAGACCACACAGTGTGAGGAAGACGTACAGTAGCGGGCAGCTCCGTCTGTGGTCTTATAAATCAGTTTTGGACTTTTTGGAAAAGGTAGATTTACACAGATGGTCTGTATGAAGCTCAAAGTTTTTTTTTTCCATGCAAACTTTAGCAACTTTCTCCATTTCAGGTCCTTAAAGCAGAAACATTTATTGTGCTTCATGCATGAAATCACAGCTCAGTAACGACTACTTCGGAGCACATTTGCTCCATTTGCCTGAAGATTTTAAATCCTGCAGTTTAAAAACGAGCGCTAATGCAAAGTCCACCAAGTCATGATGTAACGGCAGATAATCCGGCGCCTAATCCGCATTAAGAGCAACCGTGCATGAGAAAAACAACATTAGGATTACAACACAAAAAAGTGCTGGAAGTGATGACATGTTCAACATTTGAGTTTAAACAAGACTCACTTTTCTCTTGACGTCCACGGAAACGCAGAGGAGCAGCGACAGATAAAAACCCATCTCCAGGACGTAGTACCAGTAATGAGCCTCGGCGACGGGCTGAAGGACGGGAAGAGGAGAGCGACAGTGGGTCAAACATTTACATTTACAGAAGCAGTTCAATCTTCACGCTTATCTGAGAAAACACACGGCGGATGGACGCAGAGGAGCGACACTCAGACTTCATCGAATTCCACAAACTCCTGCAAACAACAAAACTATGCGTTGTTTGACTTTATTCGGCTGAAAGAGCAGAATTAAATGGGTTTTTTTGTGGTTTTATTAGTCAGGATAGTGAGAGAGTGAGACAGGAAAGTGGGAGAGGACCTGCAGCAAAGGGATTCGAACCCACGACCGCTGCATCGGGTAACTACAGCCCCTGTTTAAGGGTCGCCCGCTCAACTAGGTGAACTACAGGTGCACCCAGAATTAAACAGAGCTTCGCGTTAGTTCTATAGACTGTATAAAAGATGGACGTAGCAACCGGCCCTGAAAAATGAAGCCAACCCGGAAGTGTCAAAAACCTGCAGTATCACTACGTCCACTAGCTGCTGGCTCCACAAAGCCCTGGCTCCCATAGAC